AAAATGCATTATGTTCCTGCTATTGAGCGTGTGGTTTCCATCATTCAAAAGGGTGTCAACGATCGATTGACCGTCAATGGTGAGATTCTGCGCCTGCTCTCCGACATGGCATCCCGCATGGATGCTCTCAAGGCTAGCATTAGGGTAATGGATGCTTCTCTTGAAGATGTGCACATCCCCAAAGGCCATCAGCTACGAGACTCAATATCCAGTATCATGACCATGGACAGTCCAGCCACTGGCAGCGCAATCGAGACCCCCGGAAGCTCGCCTGCGTCGTCAGTCATTATCAACAGCAACGGGTACAAGCGCGCCTCAACGCCCATGGGCGGCTCAAGTCGTCGCGAAAGTTCAGTTGGGAGTGCCACAACCCGCTCGACTATGCCCCCAAACCGTCGTTATTCCAGCTTGCCGCAGCCCACGGCGAGTTACACCACTCGAAAATCCGCAATCCCCCAACCGTCAGGCTTTGTGTCTCCTACTCCATCCTACAGATCCACAAGCTACTTCACACCGACCCCGGGTGCTCGTTCTCGTACACCAGCACCGCCATCTACAATTCCCAATCGTCCACGCTGGAACGCCAGTACGAACCTGAATGACTCGGCTACTGGTTACAACTCGACAATACGAAAGTCATCCACACCACTCGCCCGCACACCTCGGCCATCATCAACAGTTCCATTCCCCGGCTCTTTCCGACGAGACACGTCTGCATCTCCGATTCCTGGTGGTCTTCGATCAACCAGTCGCCTCTCGAGCCGCCTTGGTTCTCGAAGTCCCAGTCGGAACGTGTCCTCTCCCACACCAGGGCGGCCCTCGCTCCTCGACCCACCGCCGTACAGCAGGCTCTATCGACAATCAGGGATGTCAAACACACCTCGCAGTCGCCAGAGCTTTGCGGGCCCGCCCACAGCTTTCAGTCGAAGTGTCTCGGGAACCACAGATGGGATGGAGAGCCCAAGCAAATCGTCACGACCAGGTACATCGCTAGGCCATTCTAGCAACAGGCGAACAAGTCTACTCCCGGTTCCCAGGCGAATGGAGAAAGAGCCGGCAACCCCGAAACCAGTGGATACGCGTCCACGGTGGCGCTAAGCAACTGAGTTGTATATTTCGCACCGTTCCGTAGCTACATCTCCTATGCCACCTATAGCCCTCATCATCTGCTCTCCCTCTTCTATCTTCCCACTATCCTCCTCCTATCTACACTTCTACGACCTTGTTTTATCTATTTTCTTTTTTTACTTGTGCATTCTACCCCCTTCCCTCGGTTCGATCTCGATTTACAAATCGGTGTTAAGTCAGTGCGAAGGGAGCCATCATCTTGACGAGTCAGGTTTTGCGTGATATCCCCATTGTTTGCATGGTATGGTCTGAGCGTTGGGGTCATCTATTTCCCGTTTGTTTTCTCTTTTTGAGTCTCATTGATTACCACTTCGCTTCTCTTCTCTGTAAATATTCTTGTAGTTTTATCTAGTTTGCCTCTGGTCTTGGAAATGACATTACTCGTTTCAATCAGGCAAGTTTATTCATGTAAATGTTGGTGATGTTGGTTCATCGTAGTATGTTCATCATTCATAACACGATATATACTTGAAACGCCAATTCGGACATGACTTCATATCTGAAACATGGACGGCCCAATCTAAAACTGAAACTTGTCATTTAATTTCCCAACTCACGTCCGAAAATCAATGCATCCACCAAGTCCTCGCTATTCGCCAAACGCGCAGCTTTGGGGACCCGTCCAATAACGCTAAACCCTAGCTTCTCCCAGATACGGATAGAGGCCGGGTTATTGGCGAAGACTAGGTTGAACACTGAGTATGTGTATCCCTACGAAAAGAGTTAGCCACGCATGTCATTTCTTATAGAGCAACGACTGTCAGTGCAAAGCCGGGGGTAAGTCATACCAATCTCGGAGCAAATTCCAGGTAGGCTTCGCCCATAGCCTGTCCGACACCCTTACCGCGTGCAGCAGTGGTGGTGAGGAAGCCTGCATTGCAGATGTGAGAGCAGCGGCCTATTAAAGTTAGTATTATTCCTACAGAGGGTGATATAAATTCGGATATGACAGAAAACAACATACCAGGATAATTAGGCTTGATATAAAAAGTTCCCATACAAACACTCTCCCAGTCCCTCCCCTCCCTTAAGCCCTCCTCCTCATCGTCCAAGATCGCCAAAGCTGTAAATGTCCCGAACCAATAGTCGGCGAACTGATCCAGCGCCATAGGCTGCTCCATCGGGTATGTCCCGCCACGGAGAATCTCCGCGCTGAACTCCCCGTGCAGGAATTTGATCAAGTCCTTTGGAACCGTTTGCGGTCCTCCTGTGATGGGGTAGACCGTCATTGGTGCGGAGGAGGACTTGGGGAGGGTAGTTTTCCTCGCTGTTAGGGTCGGCGCTGCATCTGTGTGTGCTTTTGGTGGGGGATTGCGGGTTGAGGGGTCTTCCAGAATGGAGGGCATGGTGAGTGCAGGTTTTTTTTTGGGAATGGGTGGCTTTAGATGGGTTTGGGGATAGTGTTGAGGTGTGATAGAATCTCAATTGGACAATTGTATAGTGGTCAAAGGGAATTTGACGATTGATATACCCTCTTCTCTATCTCCATATCGGTATCGGAGCCGATTTTGAATGAGTCAGCTTGTCATTGGTAGGGCGTTCTCCACTGATGTTGGAGTCGTTTGAGTTCCGTTGATGGTTCTTCTACTATGTGCTAGAATGCGATAGATGGATCTAGGGCTGAAATTGCGTTTGTGTAGGGGGGTCGCCTTCTTGTCAATTGTCACCGTGTGTGAAATGTGCCTAGATATCTCTCGGAGTTGTTCCGCAATCTACGACCAACGCAAGGTTCCCATTTGTAGTCATAGAAAGACCATACTCTAAAATGGATATACTTTAGGTGTGGACCTGAATTGTCAAACCTGTTAAATCAAGTGAAAGCCTCGTCTCTTCTATTCCTACACATAGTATGTACATATGGGCTGGCGGGGGTTGGGAGATGCCTGCATATCCCAGTATAACCCTACCAGGCACGCCTGACTGCCCTAAGACCAAGCATTCTGCATTCGAGGATCGTTTTAGACTGATGGGCCAAGACCTCATTGTTTGAAGTTGATGTCGCCAATTCTCGGGGTGGTAGTGTCAACCTCGGTCCAATGCAATCGATGAAGAACTCATTGATCCTCTCCTTCTCCATCCTTCTTCAGAGCCTCCATAAGCTCGAGTAACTGTCCAAGTTGTTGATCTGCAATGAAAACAAACGTTTAGCAATTGATCGACCGAGGTAGTGTTCAAACAACAGCCAAGAACATACCACTCATCTTATCCAACTTGGCCTTGTCCAACTTATCTCCTGCCCATTGATCACCCTCCAACTTCTGCGCATATAGCTGCCACTCAGTCAAGAACCCGATCTATCAATGCCAATGTTAGTGACTGCATCAACAATCCCGTCCCTTTCCGCCATGCCTCCCCTTCTCTTCAACTCGGTATAGCCACCCCAACTCAGACAAGAACAAACATACAATATGCAATGGGTTCTCCACACCACGATGCGCACGGAACTCATTCTTCACATAAGAATCGCCCAAGACGCGCATCTCGGGATCGAGTTTGCGATGGACGCGTAGAATGCGCCGGTAAAGCTGTAGCGGCGGGAGGAGAGCAAGAGCTTCGGTAAGGCTGGACTTTGAGCCGATCGAGGCCGGCGTGGCCATAAGTAAACGCTGAGCAATCCGCATCTTGAATAATTGGGATGTTTAAGGAAGATGGGAATATGACATAATTCCGGGGATTTTCGAGGCAAAGGCGGCGAAGAGAACGCGCGAATCAACGGGTCGGGATGTCTCGGGATCTTTAAAGGTTTGACCTTTTTATCTCTGCCATTTGCTGATATTTTTGAATTTATATTGGTTGATATATTCCACTTGAGTGCATTGGTGCTTTTCTGAGATTTGTGATCGCTCAGGCCAACATCATCCATGCTGCATACACTTTCGAGATAACCCCCACTATCTTCAAAATCGAACCTCAAATATCTGAAAAGCAACTTGGCTTTTTACATACACACCATGCTTCCCACGCCAGATACTTCACATGTCTCCTTTGATACCATCTATGAGCCATCTGAGGACTCATACCTTTTCCTAGACACATTGTCATCAGCATCCGAATCAAAATGGCTCTCTGAACGATTCCCAAAGAACCAAGAGGCATCACCACTAGTCGTCGAAGTAGGCACAGGCTCTGGCGTTGTGCTAGCCTTCACAGCCGCACAGTCTCAACAGATTTTCGGCCGGCGCGATATTCTCACATTAGGCACTGATGTGAACCGCAATGCTTGCATCGCAACGCGGAAAACCGCAACGACAGCCATTCAGACAGAGCAACAGCCCTCTCCTCAATCAGTTCACATCTCTTCATTGACAGCTGATCTTTGTGCTCCTCTTCGCCCTGGAAGCGTTGATGTCCTCCTCTTCAACCCACCTTATGTTCCGACTGAGGATCTGCCACGTCTGCCTTCTGCGGCGGAAAATGACCCTGCTGTTTCAGAGGCCATGTCTCGCTCTGCCAAGTTCGATAATGACTCATACTTTTTGTCGTTGACGTATGCGGGCGGAGCGGATGGTATGGAAACTACGGATAGGCTGCTTGATGCCATTCCTGGTGTGCTGTCTGTGCGTGGTGTGGCCTATGTCTTACTTTGCAAGCAGAATCGGCCTGATGAGGTTATGGAGCGGATTCGTGGCTGGGGTGGATGGCAGGTTGAGACGGCGGGGTCGAGTGGGATGCAGGCTGGGTGGGAGAAATTGGTCATTGTGAGGATATGGAGGGAGGATAGCTCATGATGAATAGATAATTGAATAACGATGATACCATTTGTGAATTGACGAAAAGCGAGAAATCAAGAGACACATACACATCCACCAAATAACAATTAAATGCTTAGGTAGTAGTTCATAAACCTAAGCAGTTCATAATTGAGAAAAGAATCATGCCCATTCCCACTCGATGTAGCGCTCACAGCCAGTGGCGCCGGATGCCTCAAGGATATCAAACACACGCTGGGAGGCATGCTTTCCGGGTCGCATTGGCCAGTGGGCCACGATTGTGTTGTTGCCTCTCATCTTCAACCCATATTTGCTTGTAAGTTTATCAAACCCTGCGGCCTTTTTGTAAAGATCGAACAATTTACTGACATCGCGGAAAAAAGAGCTTGACCTGCTCATTCTCAACGCGTCTGCATTACTTCTATCGGTTGACTCGGGTTCGGGGAGGTATTTTGCAGCACGAGCCATGTCCCTGTCAAGTGACTCAGTACTCCACATGTCGTCAATGTCGCGGATAAAGAGGACAAGCAGCATGGCCTTTGGGTTTTGAATCTTCGGCTTCAGTAACTGGCTAAATATGGCGAGGTTGATATCGATCCCAAGAACGTCCCTTTCTGCAGTTACGTATGTCTATATCGAATTAGTATCATTTTAAGAACATGGTCAATTGAATGAAATAGTTAGGGAAGTCAAGGTGAATAAATTACTTCAACTCGGTCAAATCCTGGATATCCGCTCGACCCCTTGAAGCGTTTCGGTAGCTCCAGTGAATCGACAGAAAGAAGTCGAATGCTAATATCTCGCTTCACAATTTGGCGACAAAAGCCTAAGATAGTCTCTCGGAGATAGATGAATAGCAAGCCGTACAGATCATTCTTCGCAGCATGACTCGCAGTGTACGCTCCATTGCATACATCCAGAAGGTTCCAGCTGCTGCGCGGATCTGCAGTGTCTGGGATAGGCCAAGAATGACTAGCATGGAAAAGTGTCCTATTTGTGTTAGTGGACTGACGAGTGCAAAGAGGAGTTGGAGAAACAAACGGATTAGGAGTGTCAAATTCTTCGCGTGAGCACCCAAAGGGCAACAATATGCCGTCACGGCGGAACTTCATCGAGGAGACACGCCAATATTGAGGCTGTCCATATAGGAATCTATGGAGGATGTCCTCTCTGCTGTTCGGCAATGTGACTTCTTGTCGATTGCGGGCAGCAGTGGCAGCAGAAAGACCATCAGGAACCTGAAGATATTCTCGAAGACGTTCCCACTCGTCTCTCGGAAGTTCCACATGTAAGGATGCTTTGTTCTTCTTCCAAGCCCATTTGAAAGACTGAAGGGCACGTTTCTGTGCAGCTTCGGAGCAGACTTTCCGAATCAACGGCTGGAGCTTTGCTTGAAGTGCTGCGAGAACAGACGCAGGGATCAAAGCCGAATACCACAAATGAATCATGATAGGGGCAGCGTCCTCTGGTCGAAAATGGAAAGCTGTCAGAAGAAGGATGATATTCTGAGCGAAAATCCCGGAGTGGATTCCATTCATCACGATCTCACATTCCCCCGAATATGTGTCTGGCAGACGAGCGATTGTTTCGACCATGTTTCGAATATCGTGTGATGCTATCAGGAATTATGTCAGTTAAAACAACCGGTTGTTGATGCTCAGACGGTCACTTACATGCAAGAAGAACTCGGACCTTGGGGGGCGCATCCTGGCCTTCATTTCTGTCCAATTTTAGCATGTCCAATGCCGGCATTGTTCCCCACCACGATATTTTGCCCTCATTAGGATTCGGCTCAGATGGGTCTTGTGTGAAAAAAAAGATGGCACTCGCCCTTCCGTATGCCAAGTTGGCTTCCATGAACCCTGTGCCAGACTGTTCTTACAATCCTCCTTGTGCGTGGGCCAATGTTCTTTCTGACATTCCTTGCTGCAGTACTGTTTCGATTTTGGTTAGAACACGATGCAGGGCTTTGAAGATCAAGGTGTTGAGGACTGACCACAACTAAGAAGCAGCGGCTGCAGGCATTGTTCGCGTTGGAGGTCTTTTTGGGACATGACGAGTTGATGTTATTCGCACATAATGCGGGATGGAGAAGGGTTTCAAATCTTGCCATGATGAAAGTATTTCAGCAAGGTTGGTGAAATACGAAAGCCAGGACTGAGGGTGGTCGAAAGGGCGAAGAACGAAACAAAAGAACTAAGTGAGAGAACAAGGGAAAACAAAACCGGGCAAGTCTCCGTAATCCCCCTGGAGATACTGGATGGCCGCCCTATATAATGCTGCAAAAACCTCGTCACCGCCAGGCAAATCATCACAGCAAACATTGCTGTGGAAACTGAGTATGGAGTGATCATGATGTTTACAACATTCCATTGCTTTTGCACAATCAAAGTACAACTGTTGGCTGCAGCCACCTCTCGGATGAAAGTGTTTTATACCTATAAATGAGTACGGCTTGCCTCCCTGGTGCTCAAGCTAAGTTGAATTGCCAGCTTAAACTTGAGATTGCGATTCATCTGCTTGTAAGGTGTGTTCGCTTGGGTGGCCAGCTCACGTCCAGCACCTGAGATTGTTAGGATGGAGTTGAAGAGACTACATGTAAGTTCCAGACCATGAAGCTTAACATTTATCGTGGATTCTGGACTTTTTAGTGTTTCAGATATTCTGTTTAGCTGTCTTAAGATAGTCTCTTCTCAATTTTATAAGTAGGTAGACAGAAAGAAAGCTCTATGTATACAATAAGTATGTAGCCTGGGTGTACTAGTACTGTACCGTTATAAAATGGACACGTGTAGGTACATACAAAACGTATGATATGTATGTAAATTGAGGTACCTATGTACTTTAACTATGTACTTTACAGTATTCAAGAGCCTTGGAACCATGAAATGGATCTTGGGGTTTACCATGGATCCATATCTATATAGAAAACAATTGCTAGGCACATGATCGCACAGTAAACACTGTTCCTCGCATCTGAACCCTTTCTCCTTCAATCCCCACGTTCCTATCGAAGATCTACCCTCACAAAGTCATATTTTAAATCTTTACTTTACGTTATGGAGGGAGAACGCCCTCCCCTTCGGCCTGGGGAAATCGGCCCCAACAACGCCCGGGACAGGGCACTAAAAAAGAAGCGATTGAAGCTGTAAGTTTTTTTTTCATATGAGATAGAACATGAGATTGACAAATAGAAAGGAGCTGGCTCAGACCAATAACAGGCAGGCTGAGCTACAAGCTCGCCGCCGACAAATTGAGATGGAGATGCTACGTGCCTATCTCCAGCTGCAAGTAGATGCAGCCATGGCAGTAAGCTACTATCCCTTACAATATATCAAAATATGGCTAACATATAGATAATAAGAAGAATTTGGCGAGGAGGCCGCTCGGGCGATGTCCAGTGCCACTCAGGGTGCCCGTGGCGGCACCCGAGGAAATGGTCTCCGTGGCAGCCGTGGGGGCGGTCGCGGCGCTTTCCACGAGGACCCCACGAATCCCCTCCACCATGAGCCCCCCGTCCGTGGGGATGAGGCTCCCCGCTAGGACGAGGTGCTAGAGACTATGCGTTTGACAGTACTCCCCATTTTCGCGTTACATTTAATGATCAAATCAGAGTGGGTATATGATAGGCGTGCACTCCGTGCAAGTATGTGAATATGCCAGACGAAGAATCCAAAACATTCTTGGATACATCTCGGGTAAAGTAGGTGATGTCTCTGAAGTCAGATTTTATGGTAAGAAGCAGCGATTTCGGGCTAGTTACAGTGATGTACTTCGAAGTTCGGATAGACACCACTCCCTAAGAAAGCTCGATTTAGTAGTAACTCTCTCGATAAAACTCACGCTAGCATTCATCATCGGGATATTTTAACGCTTATATATTCATTCCTTTGCCAATTAATCTCCACTTACATGCAAGAAAATGGCAAAAAGAAAATGCTAGCAGTGGGGTTCGAACCCACGCAACTTGCGTTAGCAGAACGAATTATTATTAACTCTCTTAAGTCTGTGAGATGTTGTTAGTTGAAATTCAGATTCTATTTTGAATTGCTGACTAACCTGCCGCCTTAACCACTCGGCCATACTAGCAAACACGATTTTTCTTCTTAGTTACTGAAATAGTCCTGTATAGCAATCTGGTCAACATATTGGAAGTCATGTTTTATACGTCGAGGTTTCTAATTGGTTTATATATCTGACTGGCCTGACCGCTTACGGGTAGCCTTTTTTTTCTGCTGATCTATTTTCCTCATCAAAAATATCTAATTATATTTGATCTCTCAATGACTATCTTGACTTCTCCTCTCAACTAATTTACTTGTATTCTTTAGTATAGATTATAAAAGCGAAGATAAATAACTTCGATAAATTTTTATATAATCAATTGGTGGCGCCGGCGGGGAGGGGAGGGGTGGTTTCAATATTCTATCTCTTATACTAGCCGTCTACGGTCTACCTACCGCGTCGAGATATAGAGCAGAGCGCTAGCGGCGTCCTGTGATAGCGCAGGTAGCGGGTGGCTTCTCTTTTTTATTTTATATTTAGTGTTAATATATTAATATGACAAACTAGCTAGTCTACGATACTTTTTCTTAGTACTGCGAGGCCGACCCGGAGGGTCGGCCCTTCCTACCAGTAAACCTATAACCCTAAGAAGCCTGTTAGCTGAGAGAGGGAAACCATGAAAGAGCTGTAGCCTAAGAAAGGGGTCACGTGGTAGCTAGTCGTAGCTAGTCATATACATAGAAAAGTCGTCTGCATAGGTTATGCTTTTTCCGCTGTCTACCTATAAAACCGAGAAGGGAAAGAAAATATCTAAAGACTGACAAAAGGACTACACAAGGTCACATACATGGCCAAATACACTTACATAAATTTATGTAGAAAAGAAAGCTCAAAATCGGCATCTCTGTTGGAGATGATGGGGTGGGAATAGGCTTCAAAGCTTGTTGCTCCTTCTATTGACCTATGATGTACATACTACATATTTCCTTGCATAGGTTCCTTCGATTTTATAAGGGGGGGTGAAGGGGAATACAATAAAAAAACACACGCGAGATACCCACAATAAGTTCCAAAAGCCATCATTATCCGTATCGTTTGTAGAACTGGAGGGGCAATACCCATGCATGTTAGAGACACCAGCAATAAATTGACCATTTATATTGGGAGGTGGTCCAAGCAGTAAACACATGGCATGGAAATTCCCAGTCATATAGCTTAAACACATTGTTTCAACGCCGTATCCATAATAGCATCACTGGATGATTGATGTTGTTTTATATCGTTGCCTGAGGCGACGATGAAGTAATCGAATGTTAGCACTAAACCCAAAAGGGCATTCGTGCAACGTCGACCCTGCCATCTAATCGGGAGTCCTCGAGCCCATTGTTCTTCCATAAATTCCTGGTTTGGGTGTGGTGCTTGTTTTCTGTTCTCTTCTTTTGGGGTTGTGCCAGTTTGCCTGCTCCGCTTGAGCCACGCTCGTTTCTCAACAGAGGAGCCGATTGACAGCACCGTCCAGCCCACCCTCCACCAACAACCCGGGGTGCAATAGCTCCTCGCAGGGCAAGCCGACTTCAACTTGTGCCGATCTGCTTCCAATGTCCTGACCCCGTATAGGACTTGACTACCACGCTACAAACAGTCAACGGGACTTTCTTTCATCTGGGGGAATCAGCCTATCGTGGTCGCTGAGCAGCTCATACGTGGAGGCTAGAGCTATAGGTCTATGGCGGAGAACAAGCGCCAGGTTTCAGTAAAAGCCTCTGCGCAGAAACAATCTGGCAACGCAGTAGGCCCAGGGATGGCGACACCCATAGTGCCCTTGGAGGCTGCACTGAGCGGGGCGATCGGTGCCCGGTGAGTCTTATCTGCCAACGATGGTGTATACATAGTCGCAGCGCTGACCTTTTCCGTTCTCGTGTCATAGAGTGCGTATTACGACCGCGCAGCCAATCCCATCGACTTTCGAAGGTACACTGTTCACGGCATGCCCGATCACCAACCTCGTGGCTATCAACACGGCCCCCGCGTCCAACCCCGGTGACGCCAAACAGGCGCAGAACGGCGACTACCGTGTGATCCCCATCTCGCGCATCCAGAACTTCCAGCTCCTCGCCCTTGCCTCGCCCTCGAACTCCACCTCGTCCTCGTTCACGGATGCACAACCCACGATTCAGGCACTCGATACCCGTGCGCTGAAGGCCCGCGAGTCGAAGGCTATCGGCGAAGCGCTTGACCGTGAGGCACGTCGTGGTAAGGGCGTCACTACTCAGGCCCAAGACCTGTTTGATGCTTTCAGCCGCACTATGCCTGCGCGATGGAATGGCCACAATATTATCGTCGCCGATGCCGTGACAATTGCTGCTCCGTACCGCGTTGATGATTGTCGTTCGATTGTGGAGGGCGATACGGCTGCTCTTGCTCGAGTGCGCAAGGTGGTGAGTTATCTAATTACTTCAGCCATCAGTCATCAGTCGCAAAACAAAGGAGCTAACGTTGTGGAATCTAGCTCGAGATGGAGCGCAAGAAGATTGAGCTTCGCAATGCCAGTGCCACCATCGGCTCGACTAGCACCTTCTCTCGCCACCCCAGTGTCCCTAACGATCAGCGCAAAGGTGGATAATGTGCCCACGCAAATACTAGAAAGGCAGTCCTTCGATGAAATTGTGGATAGGTCTGGCGTGGATCCAAGCGTCTTAGTGGCGCTTGATCAACAAAGTTGATGGAAATACCCAAGCGAAAAAAAACGATATTGCAATGGGATAGAGATGATTTGAAAGCGGATCCGACGGGACACTGCGCGTTCTTGACCGCTAGTGTTTAGGGGATGGCCTGACTTATTAAGAAACTATATCTGCTTGCCATCAAGTTGGACCGTTTGCATTGCTGCCAACTGATTTGCCTCGTGTCTTGCTTTTGGGCGGGTCGGTGCGCTCAAGCCGAGAATACTAGACAATCCATAGTAACCTCAATTGCTACAACAATTTCTTAAGACAATGATATTGCAATCTTCAGCCATGGGAAGTTCTGTAAATCCGTCCTATTTGACAAGCTAGTAGCGACTCACTCCGGTTATTGACAAACATGGGAATCAAGTGAAAAAGAATCCGCTATGAACACTGAAAACAGACATATACATGGCTAAACGGTACAAAAGGACGCTCACAAATAACAAAAAAGAAGTATGTTACCTATTGCCGCGATGCAAGACTTTCGTCTAGCTTTCCGCAACTGGAATTCTCCCAGGAACAACCTCACAGACAGTCCCCACAAACCCTTCCAACCCTGACATGGACGCCGTCCCAGAAGCAGAGCTAGAGCCAGGTGCAGATGCTACCGTGGCTCCAGATTGGGACGGGGCAGCGGCCATGGAGACACCGGGCATAACGAGAACCTGAGAACCAAGTTCCACCCATTCTACAGACGATACCAGCGCAAAGGTAATCTTGACGTCCTCTTTCAGGGCTTCTGCAGAAGAAGCAGCTCCGACAATGGAGGCAGAGGCAGCGCCAGACATTACTTTGCTGATATCCGTTGCCGAGGGGCGGCGGCGAACTGCATCACCTGTGCCGTCCACGCTATTGTCTGTTGTAGCATTCCCGTCTGGTTTCTCACTAGGAGGGTGAGGATCGCCGTCAAAGCTGAAGAATTCAGGCTCCGATGGAGAAGGCGGTTCGGAAGATAGTTCCTCGCCAGACCCAGTTAACGCCATGCAAATGACACGGACAGTAGCTCGAATGTTGGCAATGTAGGCAATAGCGTTGCCGCCAAGTAAGAGTGGAGGTGAATTTGGAGCTGAGAACTCGGTAGAGCGGAAGGTGGCGGTAAAGCCCGTGTGGAAGGGTAGCGCTAATAGCGAGGTGGCAGGTGAGGTGCCATTCGAGCACCAGAGTGGGGCATGGAAGTTTGAAAGAATCATGCCCTTGCGGATCCGACCGAAACGCGGTAGGCGGCCATCTTCTGAAACCCCGATGGGTTCGATTCCGATGGTTCCGACTTGGTCTCTAATTAGACGACGGACAGGAAGTCGTAGGTCTCTTACGCTGACAACGCGGATACGCTGCCATCTTGCTTGTGAATCTTTGCCGGATAATGAGTTCTGCGGGAAGGATGCCGGGAGATCACCCGAGGAGCCGGGCCCACTGCGGGACAGTGACCCTCCGGGTGGCTGGGCCTCATTGCCTTGGTCATTTGGAACGTCCACTAAGATGGGACCAATAACCATTTCGTCGCCGATGGAAACATTTCCACGACGGACTAGGCCGCAGAGAACCACGCCGCGGTTTTCTTGGCCGCCCTTCTCCGAATCTAGTGAATATACTTTGGAGGGAGGGATTGCAAACACTTCATCCACATCAAAGATATTGGTTGAGCTGTGAGAGGGCATTGGCAGCCCTTTAGGGATGTGAATAGTTCTCCGAGATGGTCGCGTGGGAATGGGAAGAGATCGAAGGAAGGTATGGAGTTTTCCAATGCCAGAGCCATCCACAGCACTGGTAAGCAAGATAGGTACGGTGTGTGCCCATTTCCCATCAGCCGCCGTCAGCACTTTCTGTACTTGGGTGCTGTCCAACGTGCTGACTTGCTGAAGGTCAAGTGGTTTGTCGCCTGCAGGCGAGGCAGGTAGCATTGCAGGTTGTCGTCCAGCTGTTTTAAGCGCAGATAGGACTCTTCCAAGATTGTCTCGCAGTCCGCTGCGGGAAGCAAGATCCAGTTTGGTAATCACAACCAAAACAGGAACCTCTAGTTTCAGGCAAAGTTCTAGATATGACAAACATGTTTCGATTTCTGATTGTTCAGTTCCAGACTGTTCGCTGCTGGGTGTCTCAGAACCGCAATTGGCTGGAATGCAAAGCATCACATAATGCGGAGCCCAGCTGACAAGTCCTCGAAGAATAGATTTCAAATATCGAACAGATCCGGGTAGATCGGACACAAAAGCCAGACGACCTCCCTTCGAAGCGGCATGAATATCGTCCCAGCCGGCAACATTACCGGAAGCGTAGTTGATCACGGTTGGTGGCACCTCATCCGTGTATCCAATCAGTTCCTGGGCAACTGAACTGGTGATGCCCGATGAGATTTCGTGCCGATGCTTGAGCAGACTCAGCCTGCTTTTGCCTCTTCCATTGTCAAGGGTAGACGAAGTCAATGTACCCAGCAAAGAAGACTTTCCTGCGGTGCTTGGACCTGCGAGAGAAATGCGAATCTGCTCTGTGTGGGAGTAATCCTGATCCAAGACAGACTTGTTGCCCAATTTTGGGTGTGCAGCAGTTTCTGTGTCGTTCTTGGGCTTGATCGGAGAGATATTGTAGAAATCCAGATCGGGACTAACCAGAGCCTCGGCGACCCAGAGACTTTCGGTGTTGTTTCTGGTTTGATCCGTAGTTGCAGATGGCAAGTTTTCGGTCCATTCACACTTCCCAACCACAACTCGGCGAAGGATCTCAACCTTGCACCCAAGACTAGCAGCCATAGCCTGTAGATTGGTCATGCTCTCATCCAGTTCATCTTGCGTGAGACCTACAAAAGTGCCATCATCGCCGACACCGATCTCATACAAAGCACCTTGGCTCTCTTCAAGACCGGGAAGCAAGCGAGCGGGTTTAGAGGGCACACCCAATTCCAGGGCCGCCTCGGGAAGAACAGGCATCACAAGATTAGAGGTAGTGGATGAATGAAAAGGCGACGATTGTTGCAAACGCCACAATAGCTGGGTAGTCAACCCTTGTAGTCGTTGATGACGGCTCTGGCTAGACTTGGCTTGCATAGGTCTTGGGGTTGGTTCCAAGCCTGGAGAGACAGAGATAGACGTGGTTGACATGACGCGGTAATGGTGATGGTACGAACCCGCTATTACATGCCCAGTCGACATTGAGAGATAAGGGCGCCTGGGTCGAAGCAGAAGGTGCACTTTGTACTCAGTGGGACCCTCTTGGGGCTCGGGCTCCAGTTTGGATATTCCATAGTTAGATAACAAGTCAGGGTCGGCGCGTAGGGGAGTGGCACTGGGACGCGTGCGGATAGCTACACCCCGACTACCAGATGCATTGATTTGGGGAGTCGATGATCCCGAGGTTGACCACGGGGACGACACCCGAGGTGGGTCAGGGTCATAGGTGAAGATAGATGCCATGGGCACAGTTACAATTCAGACTGGTAACAAAGGTATTGGTAATGGGCACAGGTATGGGTAAAGCACTTCTAAAAACACTCGAGAAAAATAAGGCATTGTTGTAGAATTGAATGATCTGTGATGCAGTTTAACTGACTCACAAATGGCACGGCCCGAAGCATCACGTGGCTATTTATCCGGTGCCAAGAAATTGTATGTACGAAAAGTTCTATTAGACAACGCCCTTTTTCTCTCAAAGAATTCTTTGGCTTCCCCCCATATACACATACATACCAAGGAATCCAGTCCCACTAGAGTCCAACGCCTTCGCTTTAACGCCGAAAATCAAATTTGTGCATGTGCCATCTACTCAGCGGATGATTCCCTGCCTGAGCTTTTACACTTACCCTGCGCAACATGAATATTGCGTGCGGTCGTACGTGTAAATACCGCACTGCATATTGGGCATTCAGCCTTAGCCACCACTCCTGACTTTTCTCGTTGGTGGCGGAGGAGATTGCTGAATGTTGAGAACTCACGACCATTGCAGCCATGGTCCCAGCATTGCGGTCGCGGGCGCAAGCTGAGTACTCGGGCTGGATGGTCAGAATCTGTAGCAGCAGCTGATTCTGGTGAAGAGTAATTTGGCTCGGGGGCGGCCATCGATGGTGGTTGAGAGCTAGTGGAGGCAGGGTGCGATCTAGTATTTGGGCTTCCGGTCAGTAGGCTACATTCTTCGGGCTCCTTAACTATCAACTCACGGAATGGATGATGTGTCAGGGAAGTAGTAGGTAGGTTGATTTATCATATAAGGAGGGCTACCACTGGATGTCAGCAACTAGGTCATTGGATCCTTTATACTTTGAGCGGTTCATTCGACATACGAAGTCATGAGAGGCTGTCCGGGCAGTGGAGGAGTGCCCGAAGCAGATTGAGGGTGGAAGGGACGGGAGATGGGTGGACTGAATTGGAAATGTCAGTCTTTTCCGAGGTCAGGGAATCAATCGGCTTACCTTCGAGCCTGACTGTGACGGGGAGGATTGCCAGGTGCTGAGAGATAAGACGCCGGTAAATGATGTTCTTGCTGTTGGTATCCATGTATTGGTGCGTTTGGGTGACTGGGGTAGCTCATTGGATAGCTCGATGAAGGGTATGACGGATGTGAAGATGGAAATGGCGGGCTCATTTGTCCCGATGGCGGTTGCAAAGGCTGATAAGGCCGGTTTGCCCACGCATATTCTGAAAGCGTCAGTGAACGCCTCTTGAACCATGTCTGGATGACCTTCGTACGATGAGTATTCTGCTGCATTGGGCCAGTAAAATAAATGTCTGATACTACTGACATGGGGTATGGTGAGATGCCAAGGCCGCTGTTGAGGGGATGCCCTAGTCAGCACAAAATTTGGATTCTCACGAATTAGCTTGACGTACCGTGAATCTTCCGACCCAATTTCTTCTTTAATAACAGTTGCGTCCTCAATAGAAGACTGGGGTGTTGACCCCGTAGGTAGATAGCTTGGCCCTGACAGAGCGTGAGGCTGACTCGCACTGTCCAACGTTGTTGAGTGATGTGGGGGGAGTGCCAGTGGAAATGCTTGTGTTGATTGCGAACCCCCTTGAGCAGAGATAGAACTCTGAATGGACTGAATGGGCCAATGAGAGTCTGTTCCAGGAAGAATACCTGAAAAGCCCGGAGTTTCCACAGGCTGAATTAGTGGAGACAAAGGCCTAACTTTCGATTGCGAGTCCGAGAGTTTTGGCGAATTTGATTGCCTGTGGAGAGAAAATGGTTCCTGTGAGCCAGAGCCTCCAGGGAACATTAGGAACTATATAAGTCCCAGACCTGTGAGATTGCAAACATTGAGGTAGATGGTGCCAAGATGGAGTATGGAGTATAAGGGGAAAGGCACTAAGAGAAATTCAACATACAGTTTGTTCCTATGTATGATACGGTCGAAAGCTTTGTGAGGATTTCAATTGGGGGCACGGAACGGGCGCGATGAAGTATTTAAAAGCCCATATCCAGCAATGGGCGTTTACTAGTGACCCCCGCAATCGTTTTATGATCTGAGAGGTCCCCGTTGGGTAGCCTTGCCGGCCCACAAGTTCAAACTTCTAGATTTCTGGTGCGCCACTGTGCATCAGTGCCGGGTCTACTAAAATGTACTTGTGCCCACTACCCGCTTGTTCACTTTAATTACATCTGTAGTAGGAGATAATTGGTTGTCTGGTCCATAAGAAGTCCAGTGAGAAAAGGAAAAAGAAAAAAGAAATCCCAGGATCTTCAAATGAGGTGGGCCGATGGTAACTATCACGAGCCAGTGTCGGGCTTTTGACCCCCACAAATGACGGGTAAAACAAGAGAGTATGCGGGAAAAGGTCTCGGAACTGATTGCGACTGGGGCCATAGTGTGTACAGTAATGATCCTCTTAAAAGGAGATGGCAATCTTGGCCTGGGCATTTGGTTTCTAGCCCCATTATAGTAAATGGGGGCGGATTGGGGGCCATGACACTCTCGACAGTCTAGCGTGTGGCTGGATACTCCGAAATTCTTGCAATTAAGGGAAAAGAAAAATTGAAATACGAAAAAACTCAGTAAGATGAAGTCAAGAGTCCGCCATCCCCGGCCCGATGCTTGTCCCCCTATCAGTCTTGGCCCCCACAAACGCACCGTTGAGAGAAAAAAAAAGATTTTATATTACGATATGAAAGACATCCTAATGGAGACTATATAGTATTTTAATCTTTTTTTTTTTTATAAAAGAACTCAAAAGTACCGAAGTCCCCATCCAGGTACATAAACGATAGCATTAGACACCCTAGGCAAGTGCTAAGATTTCCGACCCCAGATAATATCCCATTTTAGTAGGGATCATAGTAGCCGGCTCTCGGGCGGTTCATTTTAGCTTCAAAATACTTGGTGGAATTATCCTTGGATAAATGGACCAATATCCGGAATGCTGGGTGACCATAGGCAGTCGTGTATCAAAATGGCAAAGCTGTAAGGAATGGTGGATCTTGTCACAGAAAAACCATAGCCAAGACAAATTGTAATTTGCCAGGGAGATTCATATGGTGTTCTCTAATTTAGCGCCCTAGAAATTTGTCAGTTCCCGAAGCTACGACTTTGGACTAGGGCGCTTGCTAAAATTCCAATCGCTGATCGGCTCACTCCACAGGGGATCCGCAGTTATATCACTTTGCTCGAGGACATGTACGGTTTCTGCATTGGAGATCATAGATCACTTTATATGCACGTATCCGTGTATATCACCGTTGTTATATTATCTATAATATCATGCACGGTTGATCATTATGTTCCTCGTGGAGTACGGACGAAGTACGGAGTAGGAAATAAGACCATGTTCTGGATTTTCCTTTCAAAGCTGAGACATATGGCGATCTTTAGTTTCTTGGACTTGGCACCAACACTGTTATGATAGACTTGGCGAGGAACAGCCTTATCTTTTGAAACCCCTTCAATGTCGCTCTGGTTTTCGTTGATTTGGTTGCTTTTGGTGCATCCTTCGGGCTTCAAGGCATCGTTATATCTGGTCTCTTTTACTTTTACAAGGTTGTACTATCCAGTACGCCTTGCTCACATCATGTACTATGCTGCTGGATGAAACAATCGACCATGCCTGTCCCATTCTGCTGGCATAAATCGCAAGTCTGCCAAAAGGCTTTGGGTCATTTTGCCAACAAGAGAGGGCAGATTTGAAATATCATATACCAAGCCTTGGCACACCCCTTCAGCTTGTAAGTTTCTGGAATTTCCCTAAAACAGATTGATTAGGAGGTGGAGTGATAAGGTGATGGGGACTGCCAGAACTGCATATACGCTACGCTATACGGAGTACAAATCACTCTGCCCAAATTCAGGTCAATAACCAAGGCGTATTAGGAGAAATATGAACATGGTATTCCTGTTGATCCCACGTTGATTCTATGAGATACGATGCAACGCTGACACACCGCTCAGCTGCATATCAACTATGAGTGCATGAAAGCCGTTACAAGCCCATGGGGCTTTTCCGGGTCACGCCTCGAAGTTCGCTATTTTCAGTCTCATTGCCTGCTGCCAAGGATAAAAGCATAAAAGGATAAAAGGTCCAATTTTGCTTGGATAGCCTAGACACTCTACATTTCTCAGCACTTGGACTGGAAGATTGGTCTAGGCTGAGCATTGTCATAGGCGAGTATTTCGTAGATGAAACAATGGTGATGAATTTAATGTGGTATCATTACTTCAATAAACATCTTTAACACAATGTTTACTTATTGTAGAGATGGTCGAATATGAACTTCGCAACTTCAATCGGATGTGAAATCAAATCACGTGATCTATCTCACCTGATCAGATCTTCACTGGCTCTGTGGTCCAACAGCATCACCAAAACCAACGCGTTTTTTTGTCACCACAATCTCCAGCCATCTGCTGGTGTCTTGACAGTTCATATTAAATTAAAGCCGTCCTCAGCTTACAGCTTACTGATTCACCATGAAACTCGTCCGGTATGTGATCAACTTCCTTGTGCGCGGCAATCACCAGCTCCGCTTGGCGCGCCAGCACCATCAAAACCACTCCTGCTGACATATAATGATTCTTCTAGCTTTTTGATGAAATGCGCCAATGAGACGGTTACCGTTGAGCTGAAGAATGGTGAGAATCCCCCCGCGCAATCTCCGCAAACCCCAACCTAAACCCCCCCCGGAATATGCCAATCTTCGAAATAGGCGAAAGAACTGTGTTCTCTAACTTGGATCCCTCATTTAGGCACAATCCTTCACGGCACTATTGTGTCCGTCTCCCCTCAGATGAACACTTCTCTCCGGGCTGTCAAGATGACCCCTAAGGGCCGTGACCCCGTTTCCCTCGACACTATCAACATCCGCGGTTCCACGATTCGCTATTATATCCTTCCCGACAGCCTTCCCCTTGATACCCTCCTCGTCGATGACGCACCCAAGCCAAAGAACAAGGCACGCAAGGAGACAGATCGTGGTCGCGGTGGTGGCCGTGGTGGACCACGAGGCCGCGGAGGCCGTGGAGGTCCCCCCGCGGTCGTGGTCGCGGTCGTGGATTCTAGATTTCCAGTTTTTTTCTGAGAGAACAATCCGGCGTTTGTTTGTGAATCTGCTGTTCCTTGTTTTTACTACCCAGGCCAGGATCTCGATTTGGATGGTGGGTGACATACCGAAAAATTAAGCAATTTTAGGGAATCTTTCCCCTACTCTGAATTTGCGCTCCTCAATATTATGTGCTCAGAGTTTAAGACTGTGGCAGAAAAAGTAGCTGAACATTAGCTATCAAAAGTACAGTGGAATCACGAGAAGGATACATACGATTTGGATGTGATTAGATCCACTTTCGCTTCGCCTCCAATGCATGATTTCAAGCCATGTGAGTGTGAAGGCAACAATGGCTGTGGGAGGCTTTGGTGTCTAGAAAGGAAAGTGGACATGATCTAGGCCACAGCAATATCAAAAGAGATACCGAAAAACATCATATAATTTTGTGAGCATGTACATCGTAGGCATGCTCAGCTCTCGCATAGGTTCGGGGCTATTCTGTACACATCTTGTAATTCTTGTGCTGTAGCCTCCTCCCTTGTTCTGTTGAACTCGAGGACTCAAAAAAGGAAAACACGGCGATTGCAGAATCTCACACTCCGAGATTGGCAATTCAGGCCGAGGCATGTTATTGAAAAGCACCTGAGGTACTGTTTGGCTTCGAAGTTCTCGCCTTAAAACACCCATATCGAGGGTTCTCTTTCCCCCACAACTTCTTGGCAAAGTACGGAGTACTCCGTCCATATCAAAATATCGCAGGCCAAATTAAAGGGTACGATTACACTGAGAGGTCACGAATTGCCCAAATAGGTAGGTAAATTGGGTTGCTGGTTTTCGTTCCAGTGATCTGCGTACAAAGAGCGAATATTCACGGCATATGAAAAAAAATATTATGTCGTCTCAGTTCACCCAATGCTCCAAAATTATGTCACGAGGCAGTCTTCCCGTGCTGGGCCTTTGGAACAGACTAATGATCCTAAAACCCTTGCCAAGATGTCTCGTACTCTGTATGTTTTTGGTATTTAAAAGAATACCGGGACATAGTCCCGAACTATTTGGATCAATAAGGCTGTCACCGTAGTCCTTTTCCAGCTAGAGGGAGCAGAGTCTGTTGATCCAGGTAAACTAACAGGGTACGGTAGACTGTTTCTGGTTAAAGGTTCTCAGTTCTGCCAAGATTTAATATAGTGGTTTGGGGGCTGATAAGGACCTTCTATTCAGGGGTTCCCGTGTGTGATGCCCGTATACATACTCCGTAGACGTTTCGGTTTTAAATTCCGAAACGCAAAGGATCAGGGTTTGGTTGCGAGATATTGCTGACGTATCTTCTTTTATCGTCTCTAGTACTCTGTACGGAGTATACATCGTAGGTATAGGAATCACATAACTAGTTATGGTTCCAAGCATTAATCTACTAGTTTTGATCTAATTTTTCTTTTTGTGACGAGACAATATTGCCAATTAGCGCTTCAGACGATATCATATGCCAAAGATAAATGCCCAAGCCTTCATTTGTTGGTTACAGGTTTAGTAAATACAATTATCACACGATCTTCTTCGCTAGTACGGAATATATGGAAGACCGTCCCGCCCAGAGCATAACCGCCACCGCCGATCTCAATGAGCAAGATAACCCGGTAGGTTGGAGTGGGTAGATTATTGAGCGTCTTTACGGAGTTGTTCGATGTCCCCGGCTCCCCGTTTTATTTTACGTGGGGGCCAGAAAACGCGGAATCCGATCGTCGATCTGTTCTCGATCTGTCGATTTGCCCAGGGCCTTTCTGTGAATAGTCTTCTCCGTACGGAATACGGAATAGTAGAAATGGAAATGGAATATGAAGAAAGAGAGAAAACCAGATCTAATATGACAGCCCACGTGGGTACATATTGTGGAGTTCGTTTAATTCTAGGCGGAGACTTAATCGGACACGGAACCAATTACATTTCATATGCGATCGCAATAGAATATATGGATTTACGTAGAGGGCTTCCAAATTAGGAAAATGGTTCGAGGCTCCACATATATGCCATATCTATTCTATATTTCTCTTTAGGAAACTAGTCTAAAATATTTTTCAAGTTTTGAGGTCAATATATACAATATGGTAGATCTAATGTCTTTATAGCCCATTTCCCCCTTCTACCGAAGTCGGCTAAATGGAGATGACTTCTTGATTCTCCGGATCACTGTACTCCAAAGTGATACTCCAAACATCTCAACATGTTATAATGGTGCAATGATATGGGATCATACAATGCATCCAAACTCCACTGATCTCCTACCTGACGCTTCTAGCCCAGCAGGTTTTCTCGATCGTGAATGTGCCCCTTGAATGCCATCCTTCTTAGAGACAGAATTGGAGTTTAATTCATGAATCGTGTGTCGGGGAGTAAGGTCCTTAGTTCCAGCGAGCTCGGACTGTTCCTTTTCACCATCATCTCTTTCGGCATTTTCGTCTATGAAGAATCCAAATCTAAACCCCAGAATAGCTAAGATATCACCTAGTGCAACACCAACGCCTATGCCTGCATTAGCTCCTGTTGAAAAGCCTATAGCCTTCTCTTCTGCCTCCGAAGTAATTGTCGTTGTCGCTGCCATAGGTGTTACAACTGCTGAGGTGGTGGGTGAAACAAACGCCGTAACCAGGCCCGGAGTAAGGTCAATGGGCTTTGTGGCCGTTTTTGTAGACCTCTCCTAACACCAGGATACAAATCGAGATTTTAACCGATTGAAGAGGGTATATGACTCTCTATAACTATGTATATATCTCATTACCGAGAGAATCAACAGCCCTGGTCCCTGGAGATTTCTTGATTCATCATCTAACTATGCAGGCTGCTAACGGGCGTTCGTGGCGCCGCACGCCCCGAGGCGTAAAGTGAATAATCATGAAGAAAAGAAACAATAGAGAAGAAGCATTTAAACTACGTCGGGTCCAACCTTGGAAGGTACCTACTCTATATAATAGTTTAGAAATTAGTAATGGACCTTTGATTTATAGATAGCATTAAAAGTATGGATTGGAAGCCCTTGGGCTTTGTATAGGAAAGGAATAGTGGATCTGACATACCGAGGCCATCCATGCCACCCCGGACCTCCTCCTCATTGAGGTCTTCTTTCCGAATAGCGGGGGCGCCCTCTTCCTAGGCAGGCGAAGCATCGTTCTAGACGGGAGCGGCTTTCTTAGCCCTCCTATGCTTTTTCCCAAGCGCTTCTTTTGGTGCGCCTGGTTGCGGGCATTTTTCGGGCCAATCTCGCCAGGACGAAAAGGAGTATGATCTCCTACGTCCATTTTCCTCCAGAATTGCCTGCAAAATAATTGACCAGCCTTAACCTGGTCTATGAAAGACTTGGTGTCTTTAATAGGGTCATTATGCTCGGCTTTGTCACAGTCTTCCGCCCTACAGCGGACATGATGCCCAAGAATTCGCTCATTGTTGATCCACCGTTGCCAGTATCTTTTAGCACAGTGGGACTCAGCGCAAACTTTATCGGGTGACTGGCCATGGCGTCACAGGTGGTCGTAGCAGCTCGAACAAATGTAAGACCTAAGCGGGTCGCCAGGATTTGATAGAAAGCGAGCTCGGGAAACGAACTGCCCGTACAACAAGGGAATTTTTTCCTTGAGCTCATTTTAAGGTCAAGGAAAGATCATTCATGGTGCTGTCATTTACTCGGATGTCGGTGTTAGTGTTCACAGATGTGAATCTTAATACAGACGGTTGACCCCACGTATAGGGCAAGTGTCATTATACCATCATCATATTTCGCTTCGACGATAAACCCGAGACAAATGCCTCGCCAAAGATCTATCCTGCTCAAAGAGAGAGCTTGCACTTCTAGGGAGATTGTTAGACCCAAAGACCCATCAGAACGTCGGTATCGACGCGGTTGAACTAGTTCCAGAGCCCAATAGTGGTGGGCTTGTCTTGCAGACTCGTCAAGCTATCTCACTAGCCCATTTCTTGAGGAATAGGATGACCTCTCGGCGTCTTCGCTATAGATTTCTTGATGTTAGTTTGATCAAGGGAATCACCAACAGGACAGTCCTCTGACTCCTCTCCTTCGGGTCGAGAGATGACTCTGTAATACCAATGGGGTTTCATCAACGATAACGTCATTTTCATTGATATCGGACTCCCCACCATCATCGCAGCTTTGTTCGGGACTTTACTGCTCTTGGTGAACGAAGACTTCGCACTTTGGCTGCCTGAAGTAGGAGTTGAAGACTTTGGGATATCTCCCTGGCTCTTTAGAAAGAAACCATTGAGGATGGATTGTTCCTTCTGGCCTGCCTTTTCAGGGGCTTTGACACTTGTTTCTGCCCACCCCGTGTGAGATGCCATACCAGTTCGATCGATGTCGTTGGCCGAAAGATAGCAAAGCATGTCGGTTCTGGTCGGTCTTGTTAGTACCGAATGGCTTCACCCGTTTGATTGGCCCTATCTTCCGGTCCGCCTCCCTGGCTAAGGCCTTTCCGACTGGGTTTTCGGTTTCAAACTGGTCGCTCTGAGATGTGTGTTTCCTCTTCTGAGTTCCAGATTCGGCGGGGAGGGGGAGCGGTTGTCATCTTTGTAAGAATCTAACTTCATTCCATCCGTGCTATGTAATTCTCACTGTGAAATTCACATGAATATTCCGCGCTTGTGTGACCTTTTCATGTCTTTTTGGCAGTCGTCTCAGATATTATTTTAAATCTGTTTTTAAATGTCTTTTATAAGACCTAAAAGTACGGGACTGTTTCTCACAATGGTGATTACTCGAAACCTTTACTGGGAATAGATTTTCTACACATCTGCATATCCGAATGCGTTGATTGATGACAGATGAATTTGTATGAGTTTTCCCACTGCGCTATTAGATGCCAGGAAAAGTCTGTACGATACTCCAAGCATTGTGCGGTGAAACTATATGGATATGTCAATAGGATGAACGTTGCAAAGATGATATATGGGGATACTAGTATTATAAGATTGGAATTGCGAATCCGTCGTCAAGGTCTGCCACTTAAGGTAATACCAGCTTCATTGATATCTAGAGAAAGGAAAAAGAAGCGGGAGCTTAGAGATACAGAAAGGTCGATATCCTTCAAAATCCTATGAAGTAGCCGAGCTTATAGAGGATCAGTCTCTGTAGAGCGATAATGGGACAAAGGTTACCCTAGGAGAGTATCTCACTTGGAAACATCCTAGAGAGCACTATCGAAATAGAACTCGCGTCTGTTCAGACGCACATCTACAAGTACAAGCTGTAGGCTATTAACCCAAAAAATTACAATATCGGCATGCTAGCGGACAATTGCTAGAATATCTAATTTTATTTTTTCTAGATACAGACTACATAGGTAGATAGAAGGCCCGTCTTACAATTATCTTTTGCAATTATTACTGTTTTGGGGTATCAAGGAAGCTCCTTGTGCGTTATAGGGCCTATTTCTTTCTGATTTTTATATACACATTAGTACAACGGTTGTTGATTTTTGGTTCCTTTCATAATTGAAAGCTATAAATTCTCTAGATATCGATATCTGTTTTATATATCACTGCACGTAGTATAGTATCATGGTGCTGAAAGGAACTTTATGAACTAGGATATATATTGCTCTGGAATAATTAATATATATTATACTGTACGGAGTAGGCTTAAAGTAACTAAGAAGAATATACTCTTTATGTAGATGTTGTTGCATGTGGAGTCCGGGTTGAAAGCTATCTACCATGACCGACTAGTATATATAGTCTGGGAAGGTTGTCTGAAGAGCAGAGTGAAAAAAAAAAAATAGCTGAATGATATTCAAGGTTGTTGGCATCGCTTTTGAGACATTAAGATACAAAGTGGTCATTCGAAAAAAAATATGTGCACCAGAGCTTTGAATTCTCAGGCGTCATACCAAAGCTGTCTATGATGGTGAGATAGTGTGCAAATAGGGTATTGAAAAAGTTGCCGTAGGTTCAAAAAATGCGTCCCTCGTATCAACACAGCAGCACCTCGCACAGCGCCTAATTGCACACGGGAGCAATAAAGGCTGCCAATGAGATTGGTCCTAGTGTTCGGCAGTGGGCAGATGTGCCCGTAAGAAGGCTCGACCCAATGAGGAAGGTAAAAAGTCCAAGAGCATGGTTCGTAGACCTTGCGCGAGAAAACTTCTTGGCTGGACATGTTTGTATGTCAAGAAAATGGCACAAGAAAAGGCCAATAATGGCAAGACATATTACATCTTGCGGAAAGCATTGTTGGAAGCACTGCGGCGTTCCTTGGACCGGAACGATGTGTCGGTCTTGTCGTACTGCACTTCGGGGGCAGCGCGCTTCGGCTTCCCGGCCGGGTTGAAGCTCATCTCTTGCTCGCCGACTACACCAATCCGTCGTGCAGGCTTTTGCTTCGACTTCATGTTCTGCGCACGGGAGCCGAAGGAGCGATCTCGAGTGGAGTGGGATTGATTCGAGGAAGATACCTGCATACGAGGCGGAGGTCGCTTTGTCCGCTTGTAGTCTGCAGAAGAAATCTTTTTGGAAGCTGCTGTCTTCGCGGGTTTTTCCGCCTCGCTGTCGGAGTCGGAGTCGGAACTTGAACCGGGCACATCGTCGATGGCCTCTTGCTCGACTGCCGTCAAGCCACGCTCCTTTCTCGAAGCCGTTGGGGCAGCAGCCTGGGGAACAGTGCTGGGGTTCAGCAACTGGAATTCGCGTGAGGTCTCGTCGACAGCGAAATCTTGGTCCTCGAACAGCTGGGCGAAACGGCCGCCGCCCAATACCGTCTTGTCCTCGCCTTCGGAAGGAGCGGTCGCAGCAGCATCCACCATTTCCTGGTCGCCCGAGCCTTCCAATAGGCGTTTGGCATGCTTGCGCTCCCTCTTCTCCTCCGCGTTCAGCATCCTCTCCGCCAATCTCCTGTTCACCTTGACAGCAACCTTCTTCTTACCGCGGATACGGCTCTCCCGCTCCTTGTTCATAATTTCGGCCACCTTCTTCGCTCTGGGGTTCTCTGTATCGGGGAACAACCCAGTGATAGAGTTATAAACAAAGTTCGACACCTGGTAACCCTTAGAGTAAGGTACCATCTTTCCTGACTGCATGTAGGATGCCAAATCGATGGGTTCTCCGCCTGCCTTGATGAGCTTGGCGTCCCATTTCGCGACCTCTTCACTGGGCACAAGCGTGAAGCCGGGCCAAACAGAGCTAGACTGAGCAGACTTGAATGCGCTAGGGTCATTTGGATCCTCGGCCATCTCTTCAACCAGGTTGTCCAAGAATGAGCACCATTTGGGCGCGGGGCCAAGCTGCGGAATGAAGAATGAGTGTTGCTGTCGGCCTTCATTGGCTGTGAGCAGCATGCCGCTATCCTTACACCAAGCAACAGAATTGATATCCACAGCCGGTTCAACAGATGTCCAAGGTTTTTGATCTTCGATATCCCAAAGCTTGATGATGCGCTTATCAGCCGAGAGCAATTTGGGTTCGATTGTCGCAGCTTGTGTTGCAGACGACTGCTCGAGGAATTGGAGAGTGTGAATGGGGAACCCATAACCTTGGTCCTTGACCTGGAAGGGAACGGGCGAACGCAAGTCGTAGAGGTGAATGAGACCATTAGAAGAGCCAGTGCCAAGGCTCATACCGGAGCGATTGAATTCTAGAGCCGTGATCTCCGATCGCTCATCGTGTAGTCCAACTGGTGCGGCGGGTGTACGTAGCACACCGGCGCGTCCCTTAGCCCTAGGGTCCCATAGCTCAACTGTCCCTAATGAAGTTCCGAAGGCCAACAAATTGTGACTCTGCTCCGCAATAGCACCGGTGTTGACCGATCCTGTGTTGATTCCACCTTGGAGAGTTCCGCCACCCGTGGATGTAAAATCGTCGCCTCCGACGTCAATCTCGAAACTGCGCATGTATCGGCCTAACTCCAAGTTCAATCGGTAGACTTCTCCCATGCCATCTTGATTAACACCAACTGCGGGAACAAGCACTTCGGTCGACTGGCGGTCATACACAATGTCACGTCCATATCGGGGAAGTCTGGTGGTGTAGTGACAGCCTGAGGGAGTGTGGAACTCCAGAGATCGATCAGACTGGAGGTGGAGGGACTTGGTGTAATCGGAAGACAGTAGGATGAACGTGGTGTTGAGCGAACTTGTATGACGCGCCCATGAAAGGGACAATTGCGGAAGGTAGTGAGTGTGGATTTGTGGCTTGTAAGTTCCTGCGAGCAATAGTGTTAGGGTATGCGCTCTCAAGAAAAGATGGGGACCAGTAGTACAAACCTGTGCTCATAACCCATTCTCCATCCTCACTGACTCGGACACAGTGACTTGCTTCCTCAAATTCAAAGTCTTGGAGTAATTCAACACGATTCGCATACTCGGGGTCATTTTTCAAGCTGCGCTTTCGCCGTCTAGCAAGCCATTCGGGAAGCGGGCGAGCACTGTCTGAACCCGATATGGTATATACCGGGACCTCGGATGGGTTGGACAGCTTCATGCTGGTATGTTCTGGTGTGAAGAAGACCTAGCCAGTTGTTTTAAGCTGATCTGCAACTTATTTGCAATTTATCGGTGTCGGCGAAAGCAAACCTGCAAAAGATAAAAAAAAAACTACGATAAAAAGCCGACGATAGCGATCACGTGATGACCGGGCCTGGTGATTGGCCCAGGTTGTCCCTGGCGAACGTCCCCCGGAATTACGCATTTCAACTTTCTGTTGACTTCATGCGATGAGCCTGGTTGAATCATTGCTATTTCATTTGAGTGAGAGTGTTGTGCCAGACATCCTAGTCTTTGTTGACCGCTTCATCCCGCGCAACATGGTATCAACCAGCTAATGTATTCGCTGTTTGTTGATCTCTCTGCTATGCGCTTTCGCTCCTTGCCACAGACCATGCAACCTGCGATTGGAAATGACTTCCAGAGTCAGCTTCAAAATATCATCTATCTTTAAAGGCTTCCGGGGCTGTCCGCGACCGTTGAATTATGGACTTCCCTGGCGGCGCAAACACCAACATACATCTTATTGTGAGTGTTGTAATATTTAGTGTACATTCGCGTGCTGACGCGTCATATCAGGATGGATTCTCCAATATTTACTGGAGAATATACACAGAAGAAGCTGGTATCACAAATAATCCACAGGAGGGCCCCGCCAATGGCTACACTATTCTCAAGCACTTGAGTCGCCTCAAAGATTTAGAGGCTCGATTGAGAGTTTTGAATTGCCTCGCGTCATGCCCAAGACGTCTAGGGCTTTGGGTGTTCTCCCCTACCCCCGAGTTTGAAAGCCTAAAACCTTTGTATGTGAGGGGAAGTGAAGCAGAGTCGAATAAAATCCTTGTCGGCACGACAACCTTGAAAGGTATGTTCATGATCAGCTCATGTAGTCATTCCGGACTACTTTGTTAA